ATATATATATAAAACCCTAAGGCACGCTTAAAAAGTACGAGGATACTAGGTGACGGTGATACTGCAAGAGTAAAGCAGAAAGAGAGAAACATGGCTCAATTGAAGGCAATGTCTTCGTGTTCATCTCCTAATCTCACTTTTCACACCCAGATAGGAGGTAAATCTGTCTCTCTGCTTCCTGTTTCTGTTTCGATTTTCGTTTCGTTTTGATACTCGTTTCATTTTGGTTGTACTTGCGGCCGCAGATCACACTCATAAGCTGTGTTTCCTGGGAAAATCTTCCTTCAAAGAGGTATTTTTATTGTAAAATTTGTAACTTTCCCATCTTCTTAGCTGGATTTGATTCTTAGTCCCATTATCTATATTTTGCCATATCCATGTACAGTTCAGTGGAAGGAGAAACTCGCTTGTTGGCCATGCAATTCCGGGGAAAATTTTATCTGTTACCCGTGCAGATAATAAGAAAGGTGAGTGTTAGTTGCAGTTATTATAGCTATACTAAAATTGGTCAACTGGGATTGCCTTTTTTTTTTTTTTAGATTCTGTTGTCATATACTACTATCTCAAAGGGAAAAAAAAAGAGATGAAAAGAAGATAATGTTGTTGATTTTTTTCGTGTTCTTTTTTCATTTATCCAGATTATTTTGACGTGTATTTTTAATTTAAGGTTTTCCTGTTTTGTGTGATTTGCTGAGCTTGGGATCTTGGTTTTAAGTGCAGTTGTTCAGGCAGTTCTTTCGAGTGACAGTGAAGTGGAAATTTCCACTGAGAAAAAGAGTGGAGGACTGCGAGGCAAGCTAAATAAGGTTGTTTTGGCGTATAGTGGTGGTTTAGACACATCTGTTATTGTGCCTTGGCTGAGGTATAATTCATGTTTCATGTTTAACTAACCCGTTTATTGGCCTTGGGTTGAGTATTTCAGTTATCCTTAACGGAAAATGAATCTAGAAATATGATTTCTACATTTTCTTTGTCAAGTGGTAGCACAGTAGCACCTGCTGGGTTTGCAGTGATTAAACTTTGATGTTTTGCTGAAATACGGAATACGTTTCCATAAATTATGTTAATTTACCATGACCTGCTAAAAATTTGCTTCTCTAAACTGGGAAAATATCTGGAGAGCTTCCTCTGTCATGCATATCTAGTGTTCTACCATTCATGAACCGAAAACCAACAACTGTTTTGTGTTTGTTTCATGTTTCTTGAAGTTACTTACATTGTAACCTTTTATCTCCTTCTATTTTTTTTGATCAAAAGTCAAAGTCAATCAGATGCTCTTTCTCTTAAATTATATGCTCTTTTGTATCTTTGTTAGTTACAAATAGATATTAATTGTTTCACTTTCTAGGGAGAATTATGGTTGTGAGGTTGTTTGCTTCACGGCTGATGTTGGCCAAGTAAGTAACCTTAAATTTTTAATCTACTTTATGTATCTGTAATCTATTTTAAGATTATTGCTATCTTTGCTCTGGACATGTGTTTTAATGAAGGATAAAATTTTCAGGGCATACAGGAATTGGAAGGTTTGGAACAGAAGGCCAAGGCAAGTGGAGCTTGTCAATTAGTCGTGAAGGACTTGAAGGAGGAATTTGTGTGTGACTTCATATTTCCTTGCTTGCGAGCTGGTGCCATCTATGAACGGAAATACTTGCTGGGGACCTCAATGGCCCGCCCTGTTATTGCTAAGGTGACCTTTTGTTATATTAATCATGCTCTCCATGGTTGTATATACTGCTCGGTGCTAATCTATTTTCCACAATGGATAAATGTTTTCCCATTCTCCAAAATCTCTTCTCTTTTTTTTTTTCATTTCATCCTTGATTAATTTTTATTTTGTGAGAAGAAATGCTGTTATTTCTTTCAGTTTGGGTTCTTCGAGTAGATCATTTGAAATAATAGATAATCAAAAAAATTTCTATGTAATTGATTTTTATACAATTGCTAGCACTTTGCTGCCTGTCTGTTTCTGCAATATGTTTATATTTGTTTTTATATTTGTTTAAAATATTTTTATCTTTCTCTTTATATGTTTCTACTTGTTATTTTCTGTTTTTCTTGAAAATTGTGGAGTGGATATGACAGGCCATGGTGGATGTTGCCAAAGAAGTTGGAGCCGATGCTGTTTCCCATGGTTGTACAGGGAAAGGAAATGATCAGGTATGTTCCTTTATTAATCTTTTAGATATTATAATCACCCATCTTGGTAATGGATTAATATGCAGTTATCATAATAACTTCTCATCTATATTTTCAAACACAACCTCACCAACATAATCAATCTTTTCAGGTTCGCTTTGAGCTTACATTCTTTGCTCTCAATCCTGAACTAAATGTCGTGGCTCCTTGGAGGGAATGGGATATTCAGGGTAGAGAAGATGCCATTGAATATGCTAAGAAGCATAATGTGCCTGTTCCAGTGACAAAAAAATCAATATACAGCAGAGATAGGAACTTATGGCACTTAAGCCATGAGGTAAAAATCAAATTCATTTCTGAAATGTGCCTCAAAGTTGCTTTTGGAATCATTGGTGTAGTTTATTTATTTTTCTCTTTCAAGATGGTTTTCTTTTGCGCATTGCTTTTCATGGCATAATTTTTTTCCCTTTTCTGATGTCAATGCACCTTGACTTGAAGGGAGATATTTTGGAGGACCCATCAAATGAGCCAAAAAAAGATATGTACATGATGACTGTGGACCCAGAAGATGCACCTAATCAACCCGAGTAAGTTCCTATGCCCTAATGATATGGTATTATCATACTCATTGTTTGAAAATATATTTAACAATGTTCTTTTCATACCCTGAACTCCTATAGATATGTGACAATTGGAATTGTTTCTGGGCTTCCTGTTTCATTTAATGGAAAGGAACTTTCCCCGGCATCTCTTCTTGCCAAGCTCAATGAGATTGGTGGGAGGCATGGTATTGGCCGTGTTGACATGGTTGAAAACCGGCTTGTAGGTATGAAAAGCCGTGGTGTATACGAAACTCCAGGTGGGACCATCCTCTTCACTGCCGTGCGAGAGTTGGAATCTTTGACGATTGATAGAGAAACTATGCAAGTCAAAGATTCTCTAGCTCTCAAATATGCCGAGTTAGTTTATGCTGGCAGGTGGTTTGACCCGCTTCGTGAGTCCATGGATGCCTTTATGGAGAAGATTACAGAGACAACCACTGGTTCTGTCACTCTGAAGTTATACAAGGGATCTGTCTGTGTTACAGGCCGACAGAGTCCCTACAGTCTGTACAGGCAGGATATCTCATCTTTTGAAAGTGGAAAGATATATGATCAAGCTGATGCTGCTGGGTTTATAAGGCTCTACGGTCTTCCAATGAAGGTCAGGGCAATGCTAGAGAAAGGTATCTGATGAAATTTTATGTTGCATTATATTTTTGGGCCAAAAATTTTATGTTGGATTTGAGGCTTGTTTACAATCCACCTTCGGAGTTCATAAATTTTGTTATTAACAATTGATCTGTTTTTATCGTACTTCATCTCTACTTTTCTAGATTTCACTTGTCTAAGTTTAGCTACATGACTCTCAACTCGAGTTCGTTTTTAGGCTTGCGTGTTTCAAGTTACTCGAGCTCACGAGCTAAGTTGAAGCTTGCCTGAATATTTCCAAGCTTGGGGTCGTTATTATAGCTTTAAGCTCAAACTCGAGTATTAAGGTGGTTATAAGTAGGAAATCCTTTGTTCACTCTTGTCGGTTAGAGGGACTGAACAAGGATTAGGAATCCAGGGGAGTCATCAGAATGCCAGATAGGAAAGAACAGACAATGCAGTAGCTAAAGGATTGAGATGAGTTGGTAACCATGATCCATGTTGTCACCTCAAATAATTCAATCCTTGTTAGCATGGGATTGACAATTTGTGATCCACCCTGGTTACCATGGGGCTGGCATCTCATTGCAGCCATTTGTTCTATATTTGAGTTGAGGAGAATCGAGGAGAGGAATATTATTTACTTTCGTTCTACTCCATTCTCCTTCTCTTTCTTCTCTTAATTTAAATAAGTAACTAAATTAAAAGAAAGAAAGAAAAAATGTAAATTTTTCCTCCTCTTCTCCTCCCCTTCTCCTCTCCTTTAAATTTTTTGATAATTCAAATAAAAAAATTTTTTTTCCTCCCTTCTATTCTCCTTGTACCAACCATACTTTAGATTGAACTAACATTGGATTGAGAAGCCAACTCCGCTTACGGTGGAGCATAACATTGGGGTTCTAACTCAAGGCCAATAGCCATTCTAGAAGTTTAATTATGGATCATTGGATAAATTCATATTTTAGACTACATTTTTAGTATATACTCTAAATTGAAAAATAAATTTTTGTTAAGATATTTATTTGTTACTTATTTAAATATTTTAATATTAATTTAGAGATAACAGGTTATTTTACAAAAATGATAAATTAAATTAAAATATTATTGCATTATAATTTTATAATCATAACGTATTAACATATTTTTATAATCATAACATGTCACAATTGGATTGGTTTTTATTATCAAGAACCTCACCCGTTATATGGTATGGTAACAAGTCATCACCAAACACTACGAGGTGTGGAGCGCTGGTGCCGTGTGCACCTAGCATGCCCCCAAACATTTTACTTTAATTAACACAAGAAAACAATAAATAATCAAATATTGAGAACATTCTAGTGGTCTGATGGTCACCATCCCTTATTAAAGACTTTTTATACAAGTTTGGAGATATGGGTTTAAGTCCCGCTCCAAACATTTAAAAAAAAAAGAATAATAATCAAACATCATATAATTGTAAAATATAAAAGATTTTTTTACTTTGCAGTTTAAACTATAAAATTAAAATCTTTAAATGAAAAAAAATGATTTAATATTGAGAGACCCTCTCTTAATTTAAGGACAATTGTTTTATAGCTTGATACAAGAGGGTAAAACAGTTTTTCCAAAGTAAAATAGCAGTCTATTATTATTACATATCGACGTTCAACTAGATTGAAACTCTAGTACAATATAGCAAGTAGCAAGTTCCAGCAACCAGCTGCTCATGGGGGAGGAGGTCCAAACCCGGGTCCAGGTGGACCGGGGGGGCCTAGTGGACCGCCAAAACAGTCTTGAAGCAACCAGCAACAGCACAGGAAGTTCAGGCTGCAAAAACAAAGGAGAAACATAGAATCATGACAAGCTCCTGGTAATAGTAATGAAGAATGGTAACACAGTGAGAGAACCTGCATTTTCTTGATAATACTATCATGACAAGCTCCTAGTAATGGTAATGAAGAATGCTAACACAGTGAGAGAGAACCTGCACTTTCTAGATAATACCTACCAAGAACCAATAACGTCACAAAAACCGCCGAAGAAGCCTGGCGGCCCGAGAGCTGGCGGACCCCACCCCGGTGGTCCTCCGGGTCCTCCTGGTCCCATTGTACTTCTCCTAGCAACAAAATGTCACCAGCACCACGAACACAAGAAGCTCGGCCCTGGAAACTTTGTCTGGCTAGGGTAATAAGATGGAGGATTTTCTGAATAGTTTTGGGGGGTTTATATGGACTGTCTCCTTAGACTAGAAGCATCCAGAGCTGTTATTTCAGATTTGCTGGAAGAAAAGTTAGCATCCTCCAATCCTAACTACGTTTCTAACACAATTTCAACTGCTTTTCTTGGACCTACCATTCAAACCTAACTTTCCTGTTCAAAAGTTCTATCAGTTGAAGTCTAATTCGATAGAACTCAATGCTATAGGTATGATTGTAAATTTATAAATATGATTTGTTACTAAATAAATATAATATATTATTAAATAAATTAATATATATCATATTATAAATACGTTTCTAACACAATTTCAACTGCTTTTCTTGGACCTACCATTCAAACCTAACTTTCCTGTTCAAAAGTTCTATCAGTTGTAGTCTAATTCGATAGAACTCAATGATATAGGTATGATTGTAAATTTATAAATAT